TTGGAATGCTTGAGAAGTTTAACTTTAATTGGAATGCTTGGAATTGTAACTTTAATTTTCTTAGGTTGTGAATGCTTGAGAAGTTGAGGAGATTGTGAATTTATATATGCTTGAGAAATTGAGGTTGTGTATTTATTTATTTAGGTTGTGAATTTATATTTCTGTGAATGCTTGAGAACTTGCGGTTTTAAACCGATAATTCGCGGTAACCGACCGCATTTTGCATTGTGGTAAACCGCAAAACGCAGTCGGTTTGCGGTTTGAGTAAAAATTCACGGTTACCGAACCGCAACCACCCTTAGTAAAAATGCAACTCCAATCATGCTCTCTATCCACCTCTTAAAATAGGGAGTCCTCTAGGAGCTCCTAAATCTGAGGATAGAGAAAAAACTCCTAGTGGCTATGCTGCTTTATTTAATGAGTATTTCAAACCTTTATTTAATGCTAACTATTTTTTATTTTATTTTATTTTAATAGAGATGGACCAATCAAAAAGAATTATAGCATTTATGACTCTCCAAATTAGAGAGTATGGTTGGAGTTGAAATTTTTTAGAAAGCTCCTAAAATAGCTTTCTTATATTTTTAGCTAAATTTTAGCTAAGAAATAGAGAACATCATTGTGGATGCTCTAAGATAAGTGATTTAAAAAAGCTTTAGTTGTCACTGGATCATTTCTCAACCAAGTCTTTTCTCACAAACACCTTGTAATTTTGGACGCTATATTTCATGTCTGATTTGCTCAGATGTGTGACTGTTACGTCGATGTATCCTATATCTTAATTAACCCTTTGAGGTTACTATGCATCTATCTTTGTCTTAACCCTTTATTGATATTTGGTTGTGCCCAATAATTGAATACAATTATTGCTTATTGGAAAGAGAAAAAAACACTTTCAAAATTTCACTTTTGCAAGTAAATACAATATAATTGTAATTATAATTATAATGTTTTTGGAAGGTCTTCGAATGGTTGGTTGCATTGAAAATTTTGGGTTTTGCCATCAAAATCAATGGCACCAAATGGGATCTTGCAGCTTGGCCCAGGGTTCGCTGGGTGGTTCTGGGCTTCAACGTTTGCTGTAGGACCATGTTCTGCTTTCCGATGAGGCAACGTCCATCGAGAAGCCCAGATAGCGAATATGCATTAAAAATAGGCGCAAGCTGCTCTGTTTTTTTTTTTTTTTTTTTTTTTTTTTTTTTTTTTTTGTGTTTTTTTTTTTTGGTTCTTCTCAAGGGAGACAGGAAATATGCTTTGAA